TGTCCCGGCCACGCTGCACGCCGGAACATCGCTATTTATGCGAGCCGTTAACAGCGCTCGGCCATCTGCATCTGCTACCTGATCCGCGAAACGCGGACATCGCGACGGCCCGAGAGGAAATACCGGCCGAAACTGCGCCACGTTTTTTGTTCCCGGCCCTCGCCGGCAATTTGTCAGCGGAACGACGTCCGCCGAATTTTACGGAAGATAGAGCCTCGACGGTGGCCCCGTATCGTGGGAACATTGCGGTTTCAGAACGATAAACTTCGCATTTTTGCATTTTCCAGTCGAGACAAGGCGAAGCGCTGTTCAGCGAATTGATGGTCTTTCGAAATAAAGGTGGTGATAACTGGGATACGTTTCGAAATACAGTAATGTCTTCCTTACCGAGATCAGATTGTCTACTAAATTGGATAATTTGGGAAGAGGAGACGCGATTGTTCGAGCCTTGCGGCTCGTTTTTGTAATTATTGACAATTTATAACTATAAAAACGAGCCAAAGCATTTCGAAGACAATTCGAAGGCCACGTGCCACGATTCGAAGGCAATTCGAAGGAAATTCAAAAGCAATTCGAAGGAAATTCAAAAGCAATTCGAAGGAAATTCAAAAGCAATTCGAAGGAAATTCAAAAAGCAATTCGAAGGCAATTCGAAGGAAATTCAAAAGCAATTCGAAGACAATTATTCAACAAATCTCATACCATTACCTTCACGGTTACTGCGATTAGAAATTTTTCGATTGCAATTATTTCTTCGAAGTGAAAGAAAATCGATGTTTATCGTGCGCCTGAATTTACTTGAACGCTTAAACACTGAGAAAACAAGAGATTAGAATTTTATTCCAATTTTAAGGAACAGAATAACATCCACATTGAGTAAATTACCACTAGAAACTCTTATGGCGAGCCGAACTCATCAAAGTATGGCAAATACGTACAAGTTAACAAAACATGATTATTCTTCTGAAAATATTGTTGCAATATTTAGCTCCGCTCAGAGTCGCCGCTCGAGTGCAAAGGGTTGACTAATACACGCTTCCTCCAAGAATTTTGTTCTCGCTTCAGAAATCGCCGGGAAGAATTGCGCTGTGAATTGATCGTAAACGGAATGTTAACTCGTCACCGAGTCGAAGAAAACGGGCTTTAACCGACGGAAGAAAATAGAACAGAGAGAACGGATAATAATAATGGCGACGTCGAACGATGAAGAACGCGAGCGCAGTGAATCGCGCGTTTCCGGTATATGAAAGCCGGACGCCGCACAGACGGGAGAGCTCGCCTGGAATCATCGACAGCGTCGCCGCGGGTGACTATTTAACTGATCCTCTTGATAGGATGTTTCCTTGCGAAATTATTAGCAGCGGATCGGTGGCCGCTCGTTCGGCGGCCGGAAACGCGTGTTAAAACAACGCTGCGGCGCGCTCCGACTCTCTCTCTCTCCCGTTCTCTTCCGGCAACGGCGACGTCGCCGAACCCCGGACCCGCGTCGACTAATTAACCTTTTAATTAGGGGAGGCTCCCCGGCGTATAACGCGACAGCTGAAAATATCGGCCTCTTTTCCACCCTCGGCCCCGTTATAATCACTAATAACTTGGAACGCCGCGCGTTCTTCCACCTTTAATTATCCGTTTCTCGCGCCAGTCCATTTATCGCTCGACGGTCATTATCCGCGAGAGAAGCTGCGAATAATCATCGCCGAAAATACAAGCACGGTCGGTTTCGCCTTCGCTTTCCTCGCGGACCCATCTGCTCGCTGTGCAAGAAAACTTCTCGCGCGAACAACGTTCGTCGCTGTTCCGAAAACCGCAGAGCGCGAATTTTCCATTTTCGTTTACAAAATGAAGGTTAATTAGGGAGAATGTACCATGTAGCTCCGCGGTTTCTCTCGCTTTGTCGACCCTTAGCGTCGGCGTGGCGATCAGTTACACAGGCGTAGGACTGGCGCGGGGAAATTCACAGCAACCCGAAATTTGGCACTTCTGGGAGAAATTGCTGTGGTCGTTCGATCGACTTTAAATTTCGAGAAATTAAAAGCGGATAATTAACACTATGCCGTCCGTTAGCACTTTGGTGGTATTATTTTTAAAAACTGAAATAACATTTGAACTATATTTCTTGGGTGTTAAAAGGCAGCAAACTAACTATAGCATTGTGCTTATTTAACTAAGAATTAAGTACGAAAATTCTTGGATGATCTTATCTTAATATATATTAATAATATATATATATATTTTAAATTCCTAGAATTAATATATAATTAATATATAATATTATATAATAATAACTTGTAACGTTGCGTTCTTCCGCATTTTAGATTTTAAACAAAATTTCGAAGATGGCAGTAATATAAATTCCTAAAATTAATATATGATATTATATATAAAAAATTAATATATAATATTATATATATTTAATAATTTAAATATATTACCGCCATCTTCGAAATTTTGTTTAAAATCTAAAATTTCCAAGCTATCATGCCGGCGTCAAACAAAAGAATCACATCTAAGATCTGCGGACGGCATAGTGTTAAAAGCGGAAGAACGCAACGTTCCAAGTTATTAGTTCGATTATAACTTTGTCGAGAGAGGAAAAGCGGCCGATCCTTACCTCTATCGCGTGAATAAACAATTTCAATAGCTTCGTATATTTTCGTCATCTTTTTACGCTGCCCGGAACAGTCGGAAAGATATCATCCAGTAAGACCTTTCTGTTCAAAGGGAACACCTTGTTCAAGAAAGTGCAGCTCGTGCAATTTTCAGTGTTTCGGCTCGTGAAAAATACACGGTGCGTTCCGCGAGCAACGGTAAACACCCGTGTAAAACGTATCAACGTGAAGCGTTCTCTGGTTTTCCTTGGGGGAAAAAGAAAAGAATCGGACTCGCACAGTCTTAGAAACTCTGGCAGATAATTCTGGTAGGAATATTCAGCGCGACGAAAACGAGACGTTCCGTTCCACGAAGATGCAAGGGGACAGATAAGGATTGACGTTATCGTTAAGATAACAGGAAGATTATTAAATCGCGGAGCTGCTGCGTTCGTGCGGGCGTTTCGTCTCGTTATAATTAAAAGACTGAGGAGCCGGGACATCGTAATGACAGTTTCCTCGGGTCTCCTTAATATTTGCCGGTTCGACGGCGATAACGAAGGCAGATAAGAATGAAGCGAAAGACAGAAAGCCGAGGGAAGAAAAAGAAAATATCTTAAAAGACTTAGAGACAGTGCTCTCTCTCTCTCTCTCTCTCTATCTCTCTCTCTCTCCCCTAACGGGACAGGTTCATTAACGTCCGAATCGTCGCATCGATCGCGATAATTGAATGCGGCCGACGCAGCGGCTGTCCGGGCTCTTTCCGCGGAAAAATACGGCCCAGCGTTGCGTAATTAAATTTGAATTAAAATGCAGAATTTTTCATTCGAAAGTTCTATTAAAGCAAAATATGCGCGCGCGAGCGCGCGCTTGCTTTCTTTGCGCCGGTTATTTTCATAGGATATTTCATTCATGGAAATTCTCCTTCGGACGTGTACTCCGAAGTTTCTCCATTAACTTTCCCCGCCTCCCCCTTCCCCCGTCGTCACGGAATTATGTAGGAAAAACAACTCTCGTATTTACATCACCGTGTGATATTTTCCTTTGAACCGAACGCAGTCCAGTCCGTCCAACATGGCCGCCGTCGATGCTGGGCGTTGTTGTCCGAGCAAGCTCGATTGTTGTTGTTTCGATCGTCGCGACGATAAACAGACCCTCGATTCGAGTATATTCGACGATATTTACTTGTCGCGCGTCGATAAGCAACGTCCGATATCGGCCGGCAAACGATCAACCGGACCTTAATCACATTTATTACCGTTCGTATTACTCGTCTTTTCGATCGACGATAAAAAGTACCGAGTTAATAACGCAAACACACACGCGGCGGCCGTGTTTGTTTGCTCTATTGCATTTTATTTGCGGTACGTTTCGCTAACAAAATGAAACAATTAACTTTATTAGTACGTTACCCGGTTCGAAAAGAAAAGCTCGAGCGGCCCTTCGCAAACATTCCTCCCGCGCTTCCGATTCTCCGCGTTAATTAAAAAGCGGCTTTGTCGTGAAACCGAACTAGCTGTTCCATTGAAAGACTATACCTCTACCGCAGCCTTTCGCTAATCCCAGCTGGGCAGGTTTCAAGGGATCGGCTCTCTAATTGACGTAATGTCTCTCTAATTGACGCTCAGATTACAGTAATGTCTCTCTAGTTGACGCTCAGATTATAGTAATGTCTCTCTAATTGACGCTCAGATTACAGTAATGTCTCTTTAATTGACGCTCAGATTGTTCATAAAAATGGACAATTTGGAAAGAGGAGGCGCGATTATTCGAGCCTTGCGTCCCGTTTTCATAGTTATCGATTGTTAAGAACTATAAAAACTAATCTATGAAAGTGTAAAAAAGTATAAAAAACTATGAAAGAATAATCGTATCTCCTTTTCCCAAATTGTCCATTCTTGTGCACAAACTCTGCGTCAATTAGGGAGACATTACTATTCCTATCACGACCAGTCCAATTACCGTTCTTTAGCACGACTTATATTTTGTAATATAGAATGGGGATAATAGCAAATTTGATAGTATAAAATTATAGTTTCTAATTCTAATTCTAATTCTAATTCTAATAACTAAAAATATAGTTTCTTAATTCGCGCTCAGATTGTACACAAAAATGGACAATTTGGAAAGAGGAGACACGATTATTCGAGCCTTGCGTCCCATTTTCATAGTTATCGATTGTTAACAGCTATAAAAACGAATCTATAAAAGCATAAAAAAGTATAAAAAGCTATAAACGAATAATCGTATCTCCTTTTCCCAAATTGTCCACTTTTATGCACAATCTGAGCGTCGATCAGGATGAATTTACTTTGAAAAAAATGAATACGCGACGTTTGTCCCTGGTAAATTTTATCAGCAACACCGACGCATCCAGCATAACGAATTTTCGTTTGTGTTGCATTGTTGCAGGGCCGTGTTCGAGGGTCACGGAGGACTTGGGTAACGAATGCGGAAGTACGATGACGCCGGAACGATGGAGGAGACGGTCCCGCGTCGCGACGCAACACGCCCTCCGGCTGATCCTGCAGATTCTACTGATACAGAATTTCGCCGGCGCTCAGATAGCCGAGTGCCCGCCTCCAGAGACCATTCCCGGCTGTCCTTGTTACAATTTCGAGGACGGTCTTTTCCTAGAATGCGCTGGCGCCACGGAAGAGACCCTGAGGACCACGCTGCAGCGAGTTATAAGCGCGGGCGGTGAGTGTGCAGCCGAAAAGGAACGGAAAATGCAATCGCGGAACCGGCGGGACGCGACGCGACGTAGGGGCGAACGGGATGCGACGCGATGCAACGCGATGCAATGCGATGCAACGTGATACAACGCGATGTAACGCGATGCAACGCGATACGATGCGATGCAACGCGATACAACGCGATACAACACAACTTAGGGACCAACGCGATGCAACGCGATGTAGAGACCAACGTGATATAACGCAATTCAACGCGATGCGATGCGATGCGATGCGATGCAACGCAATGCGACGCGATACAACGCAACGTAAGGGCGAAAGCGATGCGACGCAATGCAACGTGATACAACACGATACAACACAACTTAGGGACCAATGCGATGCGATGCTATGCAACGCGACGTAAGGCCGAAAGCAATGCGACGCGATGCAACGCAACTAAAGGCAAACGCGATGCGACGCGATGCAACGCAATGCGACGCGATACAACGCGATACAACGCGATTCAACGTGACGTAAGGGCGAAAGCGATGCAATGCGATGATGCAACGCAACTTAGGGACCAACGCGATGCGATGCAACGCGATACGACGCAACGTATGGGCAAACGCGATGCAACGCGATGCAACGCGACGTAAAAGCGAACGCACTCGCCACGCCCTGGTCCACGCGATCTTATCTTTCTTCAATAGAATCTTCGCGAGAAACCCGGTCCAATTTTCATTTATTAACCGAACAACGACCCCGCGCCGCACAGTAACGCCGAGATGGTTATCATAATCGGAACAACAGCGTCGCTTTTTGTTTTTTGAGGCGCGTAGAACTAGGAATTAATTAGCGTTCAATGGACGATTTTAAAGCGCGGCTGGCGTAGTCGCGTTTCGCCTAACGAGCCGCGTGTCCGACACGTTACGTCGCGTCGTCGATCGTGCTCGTTGTTTCACGCGAACGACAAACGCGAATCGGAATATTCTGCACGTAGTATCGCTGTTTTCACGCGTTCCGCTCGAATACACACGTTGCCGCAAATTTCAGCGTGGAATTTCGTGGAACTTTGTTCAAGCAGTTTTCGAGAACCGATAATATTGTTCAAGGGGGTGGGGGAGGGGTCAAAGTTGTTCTCTCGTTGTAATTGGTCTTTTCAACTCTAAACATTTACGAAGCCCCGGGTAAACGGCGAATAGGATCAACGCGCGACTAATGGAATTGACGTGTCAAAGGGCAAGCCGAAATCGACGTAACGCGTGACAAATGAAATTGATGGAACATAGAGTAAGTAAACGCGACGTAACATGCGACAGGGAAACTTGACGGGACAAAGGTTTAACTGCAGTCTACGTGAATACGGCATAGTCTGTACCAATGTGAATACGTGGTTATAATTGATTCGAAGAATTATTGATTCGAAACGTAATTGGAAACATTGTTGAAACACCAACGCAACGTGTCCTGTTGGAAAATGGAGGGAAAAAGCTTCGAGATCGTAGAATTTCGTGCACAAACGTAGAAAGTTCAAGCTTCAAAACGAGATCAAGTTCAAAGTCGTTGGGGAGAACTGCCATAAATGGGACACATGTTGAATAGGACGTTACCATTATCTCGAAAATTGTGAATCTTTTTGTAATAAAATTATAGTGTTTTGTAACTACATATCTACATATCTACATGTCTATATATTTAATGTAGAGTGCCAATTATATTATTAATACATATTATTAATAATTATAGATATTATAATAAATAATAATAATAATAATATTATAATAATAATAATAATATTATATTATATATATAATATTTCATTGGAAA